CGATGAGTTGTTTCAGTAATGCCATGCATGTTACAGTGAGATGGCCGGCACAGCCTGACAGAAGGGTAGACTAAGACGGCTATGACATGAACGAATGTGTATTGGGCAAGCGTTTTTTTGAAAGCAAACTTGAACATACTGCTAAGCGAGACAGAGGCCAGTGGATGAATACGGCGATAGCTTATTTATCCCTCGTATAGCACCGCATTTGTGTTCCGGCCTGGCGCACAGGTGCCCTTGATCAAATGCAAAAAAGACAGTTTTGGTTTTTTAAAAACGATAGTCGTTCTTGGGGACCTTCGACGCAAAAATTTTGGTCTTTCTGTCTGTCATCTGTACGTTTGTCTGTCCACTTTTAACAGTACGCTAAACGGCACTGAAGGGACCAAACGATACTTCCAACGGCCGACCCCATCCGCAGTACCCACCAATATTGCTCAAGGTTCAGCGTTCATACTTCTGCGATTGCCAGTTACAAAGCAATTATTACGCATATCTGAGGCACTATAACAACACGTCAATATTATATATGTGTAATTTTTACTAGAAAAGGCATACATAAGTGATTTTAAGGATCGTAGCCTTCATAACGCTCCGAAGGCTATGAAACGCTTGCAAGAAACGGCAAGTATTTCCAATGCTTTGCTAACACGACACGGTGGTGGCACCTACCCGTTGCCTTGAGTTCTACACCTTATCACCTCGCGGACGGGTACACAGGGCGCGCGCGCTTCGTTTTTTAAGACATCTGCCAGATAGCGCTCATGTCTCACGTGTGACGAGACTTGATGCGCTCGTTCGCCTTCGTTGCATGCTCGAGGCACTGTAACGCAGTGGCTCCAGAATACCATTCACCAATTTTCTTGCGTAGAACATCAAAAAATTTTTATTCACTTTCTCCAGACGCAAGACTATCGTCTTTCAACGACGTTTGCGGTGTAACATGCAGATACGGCGCAAATTTTTTTAATATGCTTGGCGGTACGCCAGTGGCTTTAAGGGTAGCAGAGGGTAGTTTGCAAAACACACTAACTTACGATTGAACTGCTTTTACCGGGAACGGGAAAATGAAACGTCTACGAGGAGGAGTCCCGATGGCACTACTAACAATTCAATAGATTTCATAGTGTTTGCACACCCTTGCATGGTGCACAATGTGGAACGGCTTGAAAACAATGACATAGCGACCACAACATGGTACAATGTCCAGTTCGTATAGACATGAGAAAGGAGCGGAAACAATTGGTAAGTGTCGACGAATGAGTTATCACAAAGAGGGAAAGTACAAAAAATCAGTATCGTGTTTGACAATACTTACTCAGAACATGTAGGGTATTTTGACCGGAGGCTTGCAAGCTCTCCCTGAAGACAAAAACGATGTAACAAAACCCTCGTATACCACAGAAAACAGAAAACTGCCAGAGCGTTCAATGCTAACCGGCGTAAGGTAGCCCTTATAAGAAGGTGCATTGTGGGGAGAATCGAAGTGCTTTTTGAATAAAGAAAGAACTCTTGCAGTGGTTTGGCTCGGCTGTGCCAGGATACACGTAGCGTGAGCTAAGGGGGCGCTGCTCAACTCAGCGTTTCACGCAAAGCACTGATCACTGGGGTCATGTCGTTCATCACGTCACACATGTCGCACACATATCCAAACGGATTGTTTACGAAGTCCGTCGCCAAGGTCCAAGTCCCACTGGCGCTTTCGCTAAGTTTGACTGTACTGCCAGTGAGTCGGCCTTCTGGTGACGACGCTTTGCTAGACATTCATCTCTTTGCTGCGGTGTCTCCGGAGCACGGTTAACCTTGTGTTTGTTCTTCCCAATCTCCACCGCTGAATTTTTGGCAACTACTTCTAAATCAAATAATTAAATTCTGTGCTTTTCTTTGCCACTCAGCAGCCATTGGGTTCTTCTTCTCCATGACCATACCGTACTGGCAAATGCCCCGCTAAATGTATGTGGCAACGCGGAAGACGCAACCAAAAAGAGCTGCATGAATCTAGGTGCACGAGCCACGGTGTACGATCAGAACGATTCTGCCATGGCTATGACCTCACTCCTCTGAAATGCGCCGTCACTAATCTTCGGCTCTTCTACGTGCACGCAAAACAGCTTTAACTCGGCCTGTGTAGCTAATGCAACGAAAGGGCGAAGCCTAGGATCGGCGAAGAGGAAACTGGGTGGAGGTAAACACCAGCTGTGTGCACTAAAAGGCTAGGAAGGCTATACCGTACTGCCAAACGCCCCGCTACATGCATGTAGCGCCGCGGAAGACGCAACCAAAGAGAGCTGCTTGAATCTAGGTGTACGAGCCACGGTATACGATCAGAACGATTCTGCCACGGCTATGACCTCACACCTCTTAAATGTGCAGTCACTGATCCTCGGCTCTTGTATGTGCACGCAAAACCACTTTGGCTAGGCCTGTGTAGCTGATACAACAAAAGGACGACGTTTAGAATCGGTGAAGAGGAAACTGGGTTAAGGCAAACACCAGCTGTGCGCACTAAAAGGCTAGGAAAGCAATGTCACTGATTCATTCAATTCAGCTCATGTGCCCTGAAATAATTCAAAAGTCATATCAACTCTGTCATCATATCAACATCATATCAACTCTGTCACATGTAAGGCAAACCGGGTTCTAGGATTCATGCGAAGAAACTTTTACATGGCCCCTGTTGATTTAAAAAAGCTTCTTTACATTACGTACGTTCGTCCGCATTTGTATTACGCGTCATCGATATGGGACCCTGGTAATATCACTTTAGCTAACGAACTTGAGAGCATTCAGAATCGCGCTGTTAGATTTATAATATCAGATTATTGCCGTACCGCTAGCGTAACAAACATGAAATCAATTATTAACACTCCTTTACTGGCTACACGCCGTAAGTTATCCCGTCTCGTACCCTTCCACAAAATTTACAACAACTCTCTTCTGCGTTCACTTTTAATAACCCCATCGTCATACATTTCAAGTCGTACTGACCATGCGCAGAAAGTTTCTGTTCCTCGCTTCAAGACATCTACATATTCCCACTCATTCCTGCATAAATCTTGCAAGGATTGGAACCGCCTCCCACAATCAGTTGCATCCATCACCTCGCCTTGCAGTTTTAAAACATCGCTCGATAACATACTTGGTGTTGGAAATGTAAACGTTTGATTTTGTTGTTAGTTTTCTTGTATAATCTACTGGCTGTATAACATAGTTGCAGTTGATAATAGTTGATTTCCAGTGTTTAATAATGTTCTAGTGTCTTGTCTATGTATTCTTTTCTTTAACATTGTTCGTCAGTGCCCGCTCCCCTCTGCAATGCTGTAAAGCCCTGAGGGTACAATAAATGAATGAATGAATGAATAAAAAGTAAACTAAACCAACCTAATTAGTCATTTGAAGCGTTTTGAGCGCTTATAATTTTAGTGTTCATAGATAGATAACTAGCCAAACAGTCTGCCCTGTGTTACAAAGCATTAACGAAGTCCTTGGGCCGGATGCCCCCAAGCGTGCCTTCCCGTCATCTCGGACATTCTGTGTGGGGGCGGGTTGTCACCTGCACCGGCTCTGTTTGTCTCGGCTGTGCGCTTTGCCTGCGGGGCAGTGGCTACGGGCGGGCCCCTCTGGAATGTGCGGAAGGCCGGTTGTGTGCTACAGGAGGGACTGCCGTGAATTTCTCCTGCGTGGTCGCTTCCGAGTCCCCGCGCGTGTGCCACGTGCATCTGCCACGTGTGTGAAGGGACACTTGCGTTGTGCTCTCAATTAGTGGTTGGTTCCCCGAAGAGACATTCCGCCTATATTTTCGGAACTGCACGGCGAGGCAGCGGGAGCAGCCCGCCAGAAGAAAACAGGAGAGTGTCGCGAGAAGAGTTGTCGTTCGGACGTTACTGTCCAACATGTTGCAAATAAACGTCTTGTTAAGTTTTCCTTTACGCCTGTCCCTCTGCCTCAGCTCTCGAGGGTTCTGAACGTCCCCGTGGCCTGCGAAATGACGACCACCACCCAGCTCCATGCTACCTACTGGGTCCGCTGCGGCCACCGACGCCGCTCGTAACACCTGCTAAAGTCACTTCACGGTCACTTTACCTACAGCGACGTATGCCGCCTTGGCATTGAGAGTTCCGGCGCAAATTAGACAGGAGCCTCGTTGTAGTCGGATATTTCATGTTAATTCCTTTTATTTATTTACCATTTCGTAAAGTAGAGGGCATAAAAAAAGAGCTTGACAAAACTTGACTAGGCTTTCCAGCCTGTTGCAATCTAGCGTCGCAGTCGCAGTACACACACTTTGCGCGCTAAAATGTGCAAAAACTAAAGGAATACCATTCATTACATGCAGAGAGTCATCAACATTTGAAACAAAATAAGTGCGTGGATCATGTAATGAAGGCCACTCCACATGTGAAAGTCCAGATATCAGCTTCATAAGAAAAACGCTACAAGCTCACGACTACAACATACACAGATGTCAACACCATTTTGTGCTGAAACATTTAAAACAGAGGGAAAAGTAATTCTTAATGTTTGGGCACCATAATTCATGCGTGAGGATTTGACCTCCAATTTTTTTTATTAGCAACAAAAGGTACATAAAAACTTTTTCGGCTAGTTCTGCTATTTCTTTAGGCATCGGTATATTTTGTTTATTTTATGTTTATACTGGAGAAGCAAGCCTAAATTACACAGACCAAATACTTTTGGAATAACGGCGGTTCAGAAGAGCTGCGCAGAAGGATAATCTCAGGTAAATGAGGCTCTAAAGTTTCTTTTGTAAAATATAAAAATTTTCTAAATATGTGAACATGGTAGTACCCAATACATTCTGGCAATAAATGACCTTTGACATTGTTGTAACTGAAGTGTAACCCTTATCAGTTTTTGGCTCAGTTATAGCCAAAGCTTCTATCTCTTGTTTCACTTACCTTGTTTCACTTACCTTGTTTCCCTTTCCCTCTTTACTTTGAGTCTTTATATTGCAACGTAAACTGAAAATAAACGCCCATTCTACCAGCTTGTCAGCTTGTGTCTACTTCACTTGCGCCAACGCGCAGGGACCGACGAACGATGTAACAGTGGCGACGAAGAACCGGAAAGAAAAACCCTGGATTCAAGCAGGACGTCAGCTACGACGATGGCGCACCAGCAACTGCCTGACTTCGACGACGAAAAAGACAACTGGAAGGCGTATGTCATCAAAGCAGAAGCATACCTTGAGGCAACAGCGGTGACAGAGTCAGCCAAGACACGGGCATTGTTAGTGGCAGCCTTAAGTACTCGCACTGTCCAGATACTATCAGGAAGAATAGCGCCCAAGAAGCCTAATTCTTTAGAGTACGAGGACGTCGTGAAAGCCTTGGACGAGTTCTTTGATCCCAAGCGCCATGAGATTGCAGAAAGTTTCCGCTTTTTCAACCGCTGCCAGCTGGATGGTGAATCTGTTCAAGAATTCATTACTGAGATTTGCCGAATCGCGGACAACTGCAATTTTGATACCATGCTCGACCGAATGCTGCGGGATAGAATAGTGTGCGGCATCAAATCGAGTGCACTGCAAAAGCAGATGCTGACAAAGAAAGATCTGACGTTAGAGGACGCCGAAACAATAGCCCTCGCAGCAGAAGCGGCAGAGAATGATGCCTGTAAAATGGCCGGCGAAGCAACAGCTGTGCTCAGATTCAAGGGGCAGTCCTCCACGAGCAAAGAAGTACTCGCTAAATGCTGGCGTTGTGACAGTGTCAGACATAACAGTAATGCCTGCCATTGGAATAACGCGCGTTGTTATCGTTGCGGTGGACGCGATCATCTAGCTCGAAAATGCCAGAATGATCAAACCGCAAAGTCTCGAACTCAACAAGCACCCTCGGAAACACGCGACCGAGTCCTGGCTGTTAACGAAGGGGAAACAGATGAAAGCGTTGATGATAGCCTGCACATTTGGACGCTAAGATCAACGCGGGAGGAAACTGTGAAGCCCCCAATACGGCGCAACTTCACGTGGGGAGGTGTTGACGTATCAATGCTTATTGACACTGGTTCACCGGTCTGCGTCGTGTCACGTCGGGTTTTTGAGCAGCACAAGAACGCATGACCTCCGCTGAAGCAATCACGCATAAAGCTGTCATGCTATTTGGGAAAATTGCCAGTCCTTGAAGAGATCCTTTTGCCGGTATCGTACGTCGGTGCAACCGTAGAATGCCCTTTGGTAATGCTAGATTGCTGTGGTCCAAGTTTATGTCGCCGAGACCTAATTTATCTTCTGAGTGACGCAGGCTCCCCTGTTCGCAGCCTCTCAGCTGAGCCGCCGACTGCAGAGCCGTCTACCAACACACAGGTCCTTCCGGATGTAATCTCCGAGTTTCCAGATGACTTCAGCTCAGAACTAGGCCTCATCAATGGACCTGCGGCGCACCTTCAGCTGAAGGAGGGAGTCACACCCAAGTTCTGTAAGGCCCGCTCTATTCTTTTCGCGCTACGCGACAAAGTTTCTGAAGAGCTTGATAGGCTAGTGGAACTGGGCGTTTTATCACCGGCGCCAGATTCCGAATGGGCTACGTTCATTGTACCAGTGTTTAAGAAGAACGGCACCGTTAGAACTTGTGGCGACTTTAAGGTAACCTTAAATGCAGCATGTGAGCTGGGGCAATACCCATTGCCAGTAATCAGTGACATTTTCGCGTCCTTGAACGGCGGCAAGCATTTCAGTACACTAGATCTAAGGGATGCTTATAACAAAGTTTTGCTTGATGACGAATCGCGCCAGTTGTGCGTAATTAACACGCACAAAGGTATTTTCTGCTACAACAGATTACCTTTCGGCATTTCCGCTGCGCCAGCCATTTTTCAACGTAGGATGGAAACTGTTCTACAGGGCTTACTGGGCGCGAAGGCTTATCTGGACGATGTCTTGGTGTCCGAAAAAGCAGGAAGTGACGGCGTGCTCAAAGTCGTTCTGCAACGTTTCCGGGAGAGTGGTGTTAAACTAAGCCTTGATAAATTCAAATTTCGGCAGGCATCTGTTACCTATCTTGGCCTTCGAATCGACCAGCAAAAGCAGCACTCAATAAAAGAAAATATCAAAGCAATCAGTGATGCTCCCTGCCCAAAAAATGTAGCCGAGCTTCCTTTGTTTCTTGGCATGATCAGTTTCGACAAGTTTTTGCCGAACATATCGTCTCTGCTCTTTCCATTGTATCGGTTACTGGAAAAAAACAGACGTTGGGACTGGACAAAAGAACAACAAACCGCGTTTGACAAAGCAAAATAGTGTTTGCTGCAGGCAGGGGTGTTAGTGCACTACGACCCTTCACTGCCGCTGAAACTAGAGTGCGACGCATCGCAAAGAGGCATCGGCGCAGTGCTTTTTCTCACAAAATGGAACAGGAACGAGCCTATTGGCTTCCGTTCGAGAACATTGTCGAAAGCAGAACAAAATTATTCACAACTTGAACGAGAAGCGTTAGCCCTGGTGTTTGGAGTAATGAAGTTTCGTGATTATCTTCTAGGCCGAGAATTCATACTCGTCACGGACCACCAGCCGCTCCGGGGCCTGCTGAGATCGGATCGGCCAACTCCACCGCTGGCAGCTGCTCGTATACAGCGCTGAGCGCTGCATTTGGGCGGATTCCGCTACAAGCTGCAGTATTCTCCAGGCAAGCAGCTCCTGAACGCGGACGCCCTCAGTAGGTTGCCACGAGAAACTTCTGAGCCAACCGCAGACGGCGAGCCACCCGAGTACATTTTGGCCCTGGCATCCGTACAGGAGAGTGCAGTCTCGACAGCGGAATTGCAGGCGCTAATCGCCAGTGACCCAGTGCTGGCCAAGGTTGTGCAGTACACAAGGAATGGGTGGCCTACAAGTGCTAAAGCACTAGAACGAAGATTACTTTCTTTTTTCGACCGAAGACGCGAGCTTTCGCTGGACCACCGTTTGCTCTCTTGGGGCCGTAGGGTTGTCATTCCAGACAGCGCGCAGCCTAGAATGTTGCACATGCTCCACGAAACTCGCCAAGGATCATCGGCGATGAAGGCAATCGTTCGGTCGGCTTTCTGGTGGCCTGAAATGGACAACGGCATCGAACAAATGTCGGCGAGGTGCACAAGCTGTATTCAAAATCGACCAATGCCGGCATCTGCCCCGCCAGTTAGCTGGCCGACATGCCAGGAAAGCTGGTCAAGGGTACATGTAGATTTCGCGGGGCCAATAAATGGAAGCATGATCCTTGATCTTGTAGATGCTCACAGCAAATGAATCGAGGCCGAACCAGTGAAGCAGGCGACCACATCTTCGACTATAACTTGCCTGCGCAGCTTGTCCAGCAGGTTCGTCATTCCGCGCACCCTTGTTTCAGATAACGGAACGCTATTCAAAAGAGAGCTGTTCGAACAGTGAAAGATGGGCTGAAGAAGATTAACCAGGGCCGATTAGAAGATTGCCTTTGCAGACTACTCTTCAATTACCGGAGAACACCCGTCGCATCGGGCAAGTCTCCTTCGGAGCTTCTCCTGGGCTACCGAATTCGATCTCGTCTGCACACGTGCTTTCCTTTCTGGATTGCAGGAAGATCAGGTGAATCAGATGAGTGGGCCCTGGCACCGGACACGAATGTTTACATCCGCAACTTTGGCAAAGGTGAAAAGTGGAAAACCGGTACGGTAAAGTCAGCCGACGGAGCGATGACGGTGACAGTCGAGACGCCAGAGGGCCTTGTTCGGAGACATGTGGATCAAGTTCACACAAGGTTCGACTCGGTTGAACCCCACCGTAACAGGGAAGGAGAAAGTATGCCTACGTCGAGAACTACCCAAGAAACTTCCGGATCAGGGCCAAACGTAAAGGCGGAACTCCTTGAGCCACCACACCAGCTGCAGTCATCATCTCCAACCCAAGACCAGGAGAAGCAGAAGTCCAGGGAACCTACAGTGACCACAGAACTCCAGCGCTCAACCAGACAGCGGAAACCGGTGCAGCGTCTCCAATATTATTGATGGAGAAGTGTTGTAACTGAAGTGTGGCGTAGGGACCAACGAACGATGTAACAGACATAAACAGATTTGGAAAGCAACAATTTGATCTTGGTAAAAAGTACATGATTATTACGGTGTAAAAGACCAATGCGTAAGGCAGCTAAGCATACGTGAATAACATGAACATCCCACAGCAACTTTTGAATAAGCCAAACACCAAAGACTTTTAAACGTGGCACAATTATTAAGATTTCGGATCCAAAAATTGAGAGCATGGCACAGTTTTATGTTTGGGTTGAAAAATAATTGCTTTAAATTTGTTTTAGTTGCATCAACTTTCAAAGCATTTAAGTTCTATCATTGCTCAAGAATGCATTCAAATATATGCATTCAAATGACGCGCCTTCACCGGTGTCCACGGGGCAGGTACGCGCAGAGACCATCATAGCACGAGCTTATGACCGGATCTAGCTCGTCTGTGCCACGAGTTTGGACTTCATGCGGAAAGGAAAAAGAATACAGCTGACTGTATCTTTGGTGTTCCGCGGACTCGTAGCTTTCAAACACAGTCACTTTGAATCGTGGGTACAGGTTCGCCCGTCATAAATACATTTCTCTGGCTCGTCTGTGTGCTGCAACGTAGCTACGTTTCTGGTGGAGATACGGAGTATGAATCAGAGCCCCATGAACGCGAGCCTGCGTAGCCTGACACCATGCGAGTCGATCCTGTGGAGAGGACACCTGTGCGCTAGAGGGCCAGTCATCGTCTTCGAGGTGACTCGCCTGAGTTCTGTCCTCTTCAATCCATGCCAAGAGGAACTGAGAGAATGGACCCTGCCACTATGACCACTCGGGCAACACCGCCGCAAGTGGACATCATTCAACCACACAAGCCGCCAGTATTTCATGGTGACTAGTTCGAATACGTGGAAGACTGGTTGGACCTGTTCGAGAGAGTGGCGAGCTTGAATGGATGGAACGAGAGAGAAAAGCTTCGTTGAGAGAGAAGCTATTCGCTGTTCTTGTCCACAACCCACCTCGCACAGTGTTCGAGTTTCATTCTGAAGCAACAGCGATTAAAGAAACAGTGGCACAGCGGGCTCGGAATGCAACCTGGACGTAAGCTGTGCACCTGCCAACGTCTGTAGGGAGGCCTGCAGGATGTCAGCGAAGTCCGGTGAGAGCACATCAGATAAGTGAATCAGAGAAGAGCTCAGTAAGTTGCAAGCACCTCCGACTACATTTGCATTATCGGTCGCCGACGTTGTGCGAAACGAACTGAGGCAGGTAACGCGAGAGCCGGAGCGTGAGCTAGAACCTGTTCAACGCATCGCAACGTACTCCGAGGTACACAGTCAACTGACGGTATACAGTAATGCAGAAGTTGCGATGACGACTTCTTACCCGCTACCAGCGTGCAGCACGCCCCGTCCACCGGTATTAGCGCCTACCTACCTGCCTCCAGAGCGCAGCGGAGCTCGCTATGGGGAGCAAATGTCCCGAAAATGTCATGCTTTGCGTGACCATGAGCGTAGGCTTTCGTGGTTTCATTTCAGAAAAGTGGGTCACCTGTACAGGTTGTGTCCTTACCAACAGTCTAGGTTTAGGGACATGCCCTTGTATGCACCATGCGTTCAAAACGAAGAACGGCCAGCAGAAATCAAATAGTACGTGTGCACGTGGCAGCTTCCACTTGTTCTACGTCAACATCGGCCAAAATCGCTGTCACTCACGCGGCCCCGATCACCCAGCACACGTGCATCTCTGACACCTTGACAGCATTCTTCAAGCACACTCCAAAAAAAAAAAACTGAAGCAGGTGGCCTGTGGAGGTGAGGCCGCTGATAAATGCAGTGCGAAAAACCTCCATTATGATTTAATGGAACTGACACGATGTTTCCAGCCGATAATTCCTGCGAAAAGATTAATCGAGATTTGCGGTTGAAATTAGACGTATAATAGATGAATGCCTTGGTTTACAGTGGCGCGGATTATCCGGTAATAAGTCACAAAATGGCAAAGAAACTGAAAAAGTTGTGACAAAATGAACCTGTTCGCAGATACGTATGGCAGGTGGTCACATTATTACGCTCTTTGAAAGATGTACCGCAAAGCTATAAATAAGGTGCTTTACTTACGTTGCGGATTTCATTAGACTGCCGAACTGTTCAAGGGAGCTTGTAATATTTTAGACCAAACAAGCTACGTCTGTAGGCAAATCGGAGGAGCTACGCTTCACAGCTCTACGCGTTGTTGATTGTAATGTCACCGTGCCCGACGCATCAGTGTAATGGTGGTTGTCGAGAATAAGAAATTTTATGAGCGCAAAGGAATAGCACTGAGAAAACGTAGGATTGTTTTCGAACAAAGGAATTTGCGTTGCCAGGGGTCTTGATCGCTTAACCAATGAACTAGCAGATGTCCTACCTACTGATTTCTAAAATGAACGTCTGCACTATGCCCAATTCACGACTATCACCTATTTCTACGAGTTCTGCACGGTGGTCAATTTATGCAGCTTAAGGAAAACGCCAAATACCTCACGAGAAACATGCAACGTCAAAGCACCAGTTACCGTCAACTATAACCTCCCTGAAACTCAAAAGAAACGAATACATATGCCTGCATAAACGAATTGTCTGGCTGCTTTTAACATGTCAGCAGGTTAGACGCACGTCTATTGCGAAGCACAGCATTATAACAGAAGATGCTACGAGACCAATATGCCAGCACCTCCTTCAAGTATCACAAATTTAAAAAGAAATTGTTAAGAAGAAAATCCAGGAGATGCTTTCGGAGGACGCCATTCAACCTTCGAGCAGTCCTTGGGCGTCTCTGGTTGTATCCGATTTTGGGTTGACTATCGAAACCTCGACAGCGTAACTAAACGGGATCCATATCCACTGCCACGTATCATTAATACTTCGGATCGGCTGCGATGTGCTAAATTTTTCTCCTCCCTGAATCTCAAGAGCGGATATTAGCAGATCGAGGTGTATCTGCATGATATTGTTTTTTCCATCATGTTTGACCAGCATCTAGAGCGATTGCGCATAGTATTGAAAGGCATTCGTTTTGCTGAGTTAGCCATCAAAGCCGAAAAATGCCACTTGAGCTTTGAGGAGCTCCGATTCCTTGAAAATGTCGTTAGCTCGGAAGGCATTCGTCCAGGTCCGTAAAGACAGCTGCGGTCGCAAGGTTTCCGGTACCTAGATACAAAAAGTCAGTACGTCGCTGTTTGAGTTTATGCGCGTGCTATGGGCCATTTGTAGAAAAAGTTTTCCAATATTGCTGAACGACTTACAATCTAACGAAAGACGACGTACCAGTTCTGTGGGAAACGAACAACAACAAGCTTTTGACGAGTTAAGGAAACGCGCGCAAACTTCGCCAATTCTGGCCCATTTCGATGAGACCCCCGGCACTGAAGTTCACACCGATCCGAGCAATGTCGGTATCGGCGCCATCCTAGTCCAGTGGTGAAATGCCAAAGAGAAAGTGCTAGCCTGTGCCAGCCACAACCTCATAAAACCTCAGGCAAACTACTCTGCCACTGAAAAGGAGTGTCTCTGGGGAATCTGGGCCATAGGTAAATTTCGATCCCACCTATATAGGGTTTCATTCCAAGCAGTCAGTGACCACCATTTTCTGTGCTCCGTGGCAATTCTCAAAGATCCGTCAGGCTTGCTAGCAAGATTGAGCCTTGGGCTACAAGAGTACAATATTATGGTCGTGTATAAATACGGGAGAAAGCACAGCGATGCCGACTACTTTTCACGCGCACCAGTTAATGCGAATGTGCCAGAGGAAGAAGAGTTTCCGTTCCTAGGACTCGTCGACGCATTGAAAATATCTCAACAGCAACAAGATGACCCGAATTCAATGCCGCGTATACAATACCTCCAACGAATCGACGTTCAAGTCCCATGCACTTTTTCTACAGGTCTCCCTTCATACTTTCTTCGAGGAAATGTCCTTTGCAAGAGGAACTTCGAAACCAAGAGGGAAAAGTTTTTTCTAGTTACACCCACAGCTATTCGAGAAGAAAATTCTAGACGCATGTCAATGCGGAAACGACACCTGGGCATATGTGTGTGAGTCGTATGTTTGCCAGAATTCAAATGAGATCCTACTAGCCCAAGTGACTAGCATCCGTGCAGCACTGCGTGGAAACTTGTCGTGAATGTTAGCGGTGCCAAATTCCATCCGTGCAACCAGCAGGCCTTCTCCAGCCAATACACCAACCGGATGCCCAATTCCAACAATTTTGGATGTATCTTTTGGGGCCTTTTTCTTCATCGTTCAAAGGCAAGAAGTGGACAGTTGTAGACAGAGACTACCTCGACCATTAAGCTGAAACTGACTCTTTCTACAGTGCAACCACTCTTGAAGTTGCCAAGTTCTTCTTCAGCAACAATGTCCACAGAGATGGTGCGCCCATAGTCGTCAATACGGACCATGGGAGAGCTTTCTAAAATGTCTGCTGTGAATGGCACACACAGATCATATAAAAAGTAAGGCATACCACCCTAAACGAATTCCCAAACGGAACGCTTGAACAGAGAGAGCTCTTGCTGACATGCTCTCAATGAATATCGGTGTTGAAGACAAACTGTGGGATGAAATATTGCCGTACATCACTTTAGCCTATAACACAGCCGTTCAAGAAACAGCACGAGTAGCGTCATTCGAACATGTATTATGCCGCACAGAAACCACCACATTGGATGTAATGTTGCCAATAAATGAAGGCAAAACAATCCATATGAATTAGACGGCTTTAGCAAAAAGACGAGCAAGCATAACAGCTGGCAAGATATAGAATACGTCGCGAACAACGCCGGTACACCCAGCGACTCTAGCTGATTCTAGCCGGTACACCCAGCGACGTAGTGAAGTACATTATCAGCCTCGTGACAAAGTATGGATATGGGCCTTAGTACGCCACCGTGGACTCCCTGAAAAGCTTCTTAGCTGATATTTCGGTGCTTACGAAGTACTACATTGTGTCAGTGACCTCA